AAGAATCCTTTTAAAGAACTATGTCTGCTCCATAAGGTTGGTGGGAGACTTATATAGCAAATTAGCAAGAAATAAGAATGGAGATGTAAACAGAATGAGATTATTTATCATGAAGCAGAGAGATAACAAGAGATTTGGAGAGAATGAACCATGAACTCTCCATGCTGGTGTGGTTGGGCTTAGGTCATGTTTACTAGGGTTTGGGTGTCATTTTCCTAAACTAACGAGGCTGTCTACAGTAATCTTTGAGTACCCCGTGGGAGGATGAGATTTTTCAGAGGTCCATGAGGGAAGGGGAATGTGGGAAGTGCACTAGTAAAGGGAGATTCACAGATAGAATAGACAGCCAGTTCCAGACAATGATTAAGAGGCTAATAGAAAAAATGGTGCCAGGTGCCACAGCAGCAACAGAACTTTGCTGTTCTCTGGATATTATTCTTTTCTTTGGTTTTTTGGTGTTTTTTTTAATGGAATGTGCTGAATGTCTATACTTTGTTCAGATGACTGCAGAATCTGGAAAAGCTGTTGCTGCTATCGATGCATAACATACTATTATTAGTCTTATATATAAGACGGTGCTGCCAACTTTGGAAAAAGTCATCTCAATTTACTGTGTTGACTTGGCATTGTACAGAAATGGACAACCATATTGGTCTAGAAATGTTAATTTTTATTTTTATTATTTTTCTTCCATGTGTACAGGGGTAACACATCGTACTAAATATGTAAGGTCATATCTAAATGGGTTTGATTACAGAAACTAATAAAGTATTCTCTAAATAATGAAAAAAAAGAATAAGATAAGACTATAAGAGCAAGAAGCAATATAAATATGTTCAGGGACCATTTTCAACTCCAGAATTAAGGATTATTTTAATGTTACAACATTGCCTTTTCTCTTTTACTTTCCTTTTTAGTTTTATTTTAGGATTCCCTATTTTTAATGTTCATACAGAGATTTCTTTAACTGAAATACCGAATAGTTTCTTTGGGGTGAAAAACTATAATAGTACACAGGATCCTAATGAGACAATTAATAATGTGAAATAGGAAGTAAAGGGCTAAAGGTGTAAGGAAAGTGGGAAGGGTGGGGGAAAGGTAATAAGGGAGAGGAAAAAAATATGAGAAACTGAAAAAATGGAAATAAAGTGTTTGTAAATGGGGAGGGGAG